GGGAAGGAGAACCGGGAGGCGGCGGAGCCTGCGCTCCCTGGGAACTCCTGCCCCATCTCCAGCCCCGCACCGCACAGTGCCGCCGGCCTCCTCTGCCTGCAGACCGGGGCCCAGATGGTGGATCCTGGCTCACCACGGGGCAGGCTGCGGGCTCCTCCGGCCATGGCTCACTGCGGGTGGAGGTGGGGAGGGTGCAGGACCTGTGAGGCCTCACTGGGAGGCCCAGCCTCCTCTCCAGGCCTCACCAAGCACCTGTGGGTGCGGGAAGTGCAGCTGGGACTGGAGGGGGCGGCCCCAGTCAAGCCCAGAGAGGCCAGATTCCCGCAGCCACTGGGAGAGAGGCTGCTGGGTAATGTCAGGTAGTGCTGGGTAGTGTCGGGTAGTGCTGGGTAGTGTCGGGTAGTGCTGGGTTGCGCTGGGTAGCGCCGGGTAGTGTGTCCTCCATTTACTGTGTTCAGCCTGCGCTTTCCCTGGGTCGTGGCGCAGCCACAGACATGAGCTTCCAGCCTGGCGTGGGATCTAGGGCCTGTGGAGGCCGCGCCCAGGAGCGAGCCCTGGCGAGGAATCTCCACGCTCGCTGCCTGCCGTGGGGGCCGGTCCTGGGAGCAGCGACTTTCTGGGACCCCAGGGAGAGGCTTCGGGACTCCAGCTCTGTACCTGGGAGCTGCTCCATGCCGCCCGCGCCCTCCCCCGGCCCAGCTCAGCCATGGCCGCCCGGCACCGACTTGGGCTGCCAGTCTCATTTGGGCGGAACTTCGGGCCACGCGGGACTGCGAGCAGCAGCGGCTGGAGGACGCCCCGCTGTGAGGCACCTTGCTGGCCACAGGGCCTTGGTCTCACCGCGCCCTCGCTGAGGTGGGAGGCAGGGCCCGAGAGGGAGAGGAGGCCCCGCTTTCGGGCCACCTGGCACCAGGTGATTTGTTTCTGTCACGGACCAGGATGTCTTGAGTGGATGTAGAGAGGGGCCCCGGGGCCCTGGGGGAGCCCGACCCGGTGCCCAGCATGCCTGGCATTTCACCCTGGACGTCGGGGTGTCCTGGACGTGTCCTGAGTGTGCCAGGCAGTGAGGGGAGCTCCCAAATCACCCTCACCAGGGTGGCCGCCGGCTCCCGGGGCACCCAGCCCAGGTTCTGCTGGACCCCCATCCGCTGGCCGCACCTGGTCTCCCCTCCCTTCTCGGAGAGTCGCTCACCACTGTGTGTGGCATGGTGGCTGAGGGAGGCTGAGGCAGGAGGGTCAGGGGCAGAGGCCAGCCTGCGCTGCATCGCAAGACTGCAGATCTCCACACAAACACAGCAAAAAGGGGCAGAACTCGAACGGTGGGTCTGGCCTGGGGGGTCCGCATAGACCCACCAGTGAGTGGAACCACCTACCCTGCCCCCGGGGAGGCCCGCAGGGCCCAGCCCCCAGCCCCAGGGGGAGAATGCTATCCAAGCCAGCGTTCTTCTAGTGCGGTCCCCGGGATCCATCCACGGAACGTCGGGTGCTGGCGCCTGAGCACCTTGTCTTCACAGCTTGTCCATGGCCCAGGTGAGCCTAGGCTGGGACTCTGCCCGGGCTGAGCACCGGCCGGGCAGCTCGGCCTGGCCTCTGCTGCCCCCTGCCGCCTGCTGGTGGTATTGGCTCCTGTGGCCGTAAAAGCAAAAGCCTGGTGGGCAGGCATTGGTTCAGGAGACACAGCCGGCATGGGAGCCAGCCCAGCACACCTTCTTAGACTTGCCTTGCTGATCCGCTTGCAGAGACAAAGCATGACCTGCCGTGGCATGGAACAGGTGTGCACCTGTGCCAGTTCTGGGGCTTGAACTCAGAACCTCCAGGTTTTGCCCTCTTTCACTCATGGCTGGTTCTCTACCACTTAAATCACAGTTCCAGCTTTTCGTTGGCTAACCAGAGATAAGAGGAGTCTCTTGGACGTGTCTGCCCTGGCTGGCTTTGAACCGTGATCCTCAGATCTCAGCCTCCTGAGTAGCTAGGATGACAGGCATGAGCCACCAGCACCCGGCTTCCATGAGACTCATCTCTAACCACCACAAAGCCAGAAGTGGAGCTGTGGCTCAAGTGGTAGAGTACCAGACTTGAACATAATCTAAGGGACAATACTCAGGCCTCAAGACTGCTACACACACACACACACACACACACACACACACACACACACACACACACAAAGGGGTCTTTATCAATGATACTCTACTTCCTTTGCGTTCCTTCCCCCTGGATTGAGGGTTGAGCCCCTGCCTTGCTCTTAACTAGCTCTGTGTCCTGGGCGCTGCATGCCTCCTCCGCTCTGGGGCTAGGCGGCAGAGGTGGCGCCTGGCGCCTGCAGGACAGACCGCGGTCTGGTCTGCGAGACGGACGAGGAGCAGCTGCTGCAGCCATCCCATGCCGCAGACCGAGGCCCGTGGCGCCCTCCACGCACAGAGCGCAGCCGACAGCCCTGGCCACATCGAGGGCAGGCCAGAGCCCGCGGCCCCCGACCAGCCACGCCAGAGGCCGGGCCCCACGTAGGCTCGGTGTGCCCGGCCCACGCAGCGCGGAGTCTGGGGCCTTGTGCTGCCCACTTGGGGTCTGCAGCCGTGTGCAAGACCAGGGTGTGGGGCTCGTGTGGACACCCGAGAGAGACCAGCAGGCCACAGCCCCAGACATTGCAGTGGAAAACGGCCTGAGTGGAGCGGAAGCCAGCCCCACACAGCTCTGCGGAGCCTGGGATGGCCTCGCTCCTACCCTGGCCTCACCCCTGCCTGTCCAGCCCAGCTGCGCCCATGACAGCCTCACCCCACCTGTGCAGCCCTGGCTGCTTGGCGGCCTGCCCTCCGAGGGCAGCGTAGGGCCCTGGGCCTCGCACCCACCCGCTGGAGGGCATTTGTGGCACTGGTGGCACTGCTGTGGTGGCATGGGCAGCAGTGTGCTCACGCTCTCTGAGGCGGGGACCTTGGGTCCCCCGGCCCTTGGCTGTAGCCCTATGGAAGCTGGTCGGGTCCCCCATGGCCCTGGAAAACAATAAAATACCTGAGCCTCTGGGAACCTCAAGGCCAGCCACACAGAGGTGGCGTTTCTGTGCTGCCTAGCACCCCCTGCTGCCCACTGGACCCTTGACCCCGTCGCCCCCGGTTGGGAGCAGGTTGGCGGTCCCTGGGAAGTGAAGGGCTCAGTCCGTGCCCTGGTCAAGATGCAGGGGACCGCCTGTGGGGGGCTGGCACTCCACAAGGCGGCAGATGCACAGTGGAGACGTGGGGGGGGGGCACAGGGCGAGGAGCCCAGGCGGGGACCCCTCTGGGAAGGCAGGGAGTCCAGGCTGGCCTGGGAGCCTCGCGCCAGCTCCTGGCTTTCTGGTGTGGCGGCAGTGCCCTCTGGCGGCCATGTCCTGTATGTCCGTCCTCACCGGTTGGCGGTGGAGATGAGCACCTTGGTGAGGAGCGGCTTGGGGTGCTCCTGAGGACCAGGGGCGCCATCTGCACTCAGCACACGGCACCTCGGGGCTGTGCTGACAGCTTCCCAGACACGTCCACAGCACACGGCCACATGGCTCTCCTCGGGCCTCCTTGCTTCCCATCGGGCTCCTGTGAACGGAGCCGCTCAGGGAGGGGGAGTGGACAAGGTGTGGGTCCCCGGCGTGAATCTCGGTTTACAGCTGCTCGGGCAGTCTCCAGCAAACCGTCGCTGACCACCGAGACGGGGATGTGGCAGACACTTGTGGAGGTGGGCGGCCCTGCCCGGGCAGCACCGAGCTGCTGGGCCCTGGGCTGCAGAGCGATTGCATACTGGACACCTGAGCACCAGGGCAGAGCTGGCTGCAGCAGTGCCCAAGGCCCCTGCGGGCGTCACAGCCACCTGCATGGCCAGCTGGAGGCCATGATTACCCTGAGGGGCGGGGCCTGGCCCTGCCCCGCCCTCCCTTGACACAGGTGGGGGGCAGCCCAGGGCCGAGGGGAGACTCGCTGTGGTTTAGATCTCAGCCCTCTTGCTACTGTTTGGCCCCAGGGCCTTGACTACCAAATCCAGGCACAAGTGATGGTGGAGTGTGAGTTGGCACTTATGAGTCTGTTAGAGCCTGTAGTGTCTTCCATGGGAATGCACTGCACACCCACAGCTCAGCACCATGGGCCGGGCACAGGATGGCTCACAGGCGGGTTCCTGGAGACAGAGCGGAACGCAGCTTCTGCGGTGAGCCAGCAGTGACCCCTGCGGGGGGGGGGGGGGGGGAGAGGGGGGAGGGAAGGGGCGTTGCCCACTCGCCCCTTAGAACTGCACAGAAGACAGGAAAAGGCGTGCCCGCTTCGACCACTGTGCATTTGTGTTTTGGTCCAGGCTGGGGCCGGGGGGTCAGGTTCAGGCCTCTGACCTGAAGGGCAGAGCCTAAGGTGTGGCCAGGCTGGTGGCCCGCAGTGCACAGGACTGGGCACCCAGCCTCAGCTCTGTGTGTGAGTGTGTGTGTGCGTGCGTGCGTGTGCATACCTGTCCTAGGCTTGAACTCAGGGTCTGGGTGCACTCCCTAAGCTAGCAAGGCTAGCACTCTACCGCTTGGGCCGCAGCTCCATTTCAGACTATTTCCAGTGACTAACTGAACAGTCTCACAGACTTTCCTGCCCAGGCTGGCTTTGAACTGCCATCTTGAGCTTCTGAGTCACTAGGATCATGAGTGTGAGCCGCCGGCACTTGGCTGGGACGAGTACTTTTGGCCAATGGTGCAGCTGTGGTTTCGCTCAGGTCACAGGGTCACTGCGTGAGCAGACAGGCCGCGCCCGCCCGCCCTCCCTCCCAGGGACGCAGCACGCAGGCAGCACGCAGGCAGCACGCAGGCACGCAGGCAGCACGCAGGCAGCACGCAGGCACGCAGGCAGCACGCAGGCACGCAGGCGGCACGCAGGCAGCACGCAGGCGGCACGCAGGCAGCACGCAGGCGGCACGCAGGCGGCACGCAGGCACGCAGGCAGCACGCAGGCAGCACGCAGACACGCAGGCAGCACGCAGACACGCAGGGTTCGTTGGGACGTCTGTATTTCAGGCACGGGATCTTCGGTTTTTCTTGTACCGTTTTCCACAAGTATAAAAGCGACGAGCTCCTGAGCATCGTGTCTGCGGGCTGCCCTGCCTCTCTCCAGAGGCGTCCCAGGGGGCGGTCCCGCCAGCACCGGGTCCCCACGCCCCAGGCTCTTCTCTGCTCCTGCCGTCCTCTGTCACTCCACGCCCTCAACGTTGGCCTGTGCGCTGTGCCCAGGGTGCTGCTGGCACGCGGGCTCAGGCCCCAGGAGCCCAGAACAGAGATGGGGACTCGCACGCCCGCGCGCGGCGGGCGTCCCTCAAGCTCCCGAGGCGTGCGGGCTGCGGTGAGCGTGGCTCCGCTCTAGCTCCCGGGCCGCTCTCCGGGCCCTGTGGGCCCGTGTGGGCCGGCCGGCGACACAGTCAGGGCGCAGGAGCCCAGGCGCAGGCCCTGCAGGGCGGCGGCGGCCCGCTGGGCGGCGGCTGCATGCGGGTACTGCAGCAGGGCCCTGCGCTGCTCACCCTGCCAGACCAGCCGCTGGGGCGCCGCCCCGAGCTCCCGCAGCGCCTGCTTCAGGTCCCTCACGCGGGCGCCGGGAGGCAGGTTCCCCACGCACACGGTGGCAGCCGGGGGGCTGTCCTCCTCCCGCGGGGGGCCGCAGGCCGCTCCCAGAGCACCTGTGCCCGGCTGCGGCACATCGTGGGGTCTTCCAGCACTGCTCCGCGGGGCCGGGTGCTTGCTGCGGGGTCCCGGCAGGGGCTGGGCCTCAGCCCGAATGGAGACTTCCTTCCCCGCGCGCCTCTCTCGGTCCCGGAGGCTTCTAAGTACTGGGATTTTCCCCAGCATCTCACTGGTGATCTGAAAGAGCAAAACGCCCAGCTGTTCTCAAAGGGCCAGGGCCAGGCAGCGGCCACCCCGGCTCAGGGAGGCCCCACCTGGAGGCAGCCACGAATGGCCTTCTGTTTTCTGGTACACACAGCCTCCTTGACTTGGGAGCTGCGGAGGCCAGTCCTGGCTCTGGGACTGCTGCTCACACGGGGGTCCTGCTCCCAATGACTTCTTCTGGGGTGGGTGCGTGAGTCAGCTAATGTGGGGGTCGAGTCCTGGAGAGACTGGGTGGAGCCCACATCCTGTGCGGGGCAGTGCCGGGCAGGGTCCTCCCACTGACCAACAGCCACCCTGTTTTGTGACAGTGGCGATGACAGGGGGCACCAGCAAGGCCCAGGCTGAGTGCTTCACACACAGCGGGGCACCAGGTGCGAGGAACAAGGCTGAGGGCGGCCGTGGGTGGAGGAGGCGGGGCAGGACGAGACCCCGCACACACTGGCGACCTGGTCCCTCTTGCTAAAGCACGCATGTGGGCCCAGTGGTGGGTCAGGGATGCTGTCTTGCTGTCTGAGGTGGACTGTCGGGGGGGGGGGGGGGGGGGGGGGGGGGGGAGAGGCTGATCTCATAGGCCCCACGGAGCCAGGCAAACAGCTGGCATTTCTGCCATCTGGAGTGGAGACCTCACCCGGCCACTCCACAGTGTCTGCCAGGTGCGCCAAGCTCCTGGCTGCACGGAGGCGGCCAGGCCACAGAGGACGCTGGGAGGAGCCGCTGGAGAGGACCCACCTTGGACCAGGTGATTCCCCCTGGCTTCGGGCGCACACAGCCCGTGGCGATGACCCGGGTGGGGGTGAGGATGTAATCCACGGAGAGGTCGTGGTCCTCAAGCAGGGACTCGGGGATGTCTGTGACCTGTGCAAACCCAAGTGGGTAACAGGACTGCAGGTGCTGGAGCCATGGCCACCCCACGGCCCCGCGGGACCGCAAGGCCGGCGGGAGGAGCCCCCACGCCCGCTCCGCCCAGGCTCCGCGGCCACCCCAGCACGCCCCACTGGGGAGACCCCCCTCCCGCCCCTCCCGCTCCGAGTGCTGGCCACACCCTGCTGCAAGCACCTGGCAGTCGTGGACCACAGTGACCACCGGCGTGTCCTCGCACACGGCACCCATCGACACCATCATGGCGTACTCAAGATCGGCATAGCCTTCGCCCTTCCCAATCCTCCAGCCTAAGAGACCACGCCAGCCTCAGAGACGCTGCTGAGGGGTGGGACGCGGCCTTCCCAGTCCCCAGCCCCACGGCGGCCCCTGAGCACGGACTTGTGGGGGCTCAGCACTGGGAAAGCGCGAATGCCAGCTGTGCAGGGGTTGAAACATTTAAACATCATGGGAGAACCCAGCTCGCCTCATCGCAAACTGCGGCAAGTCGGGCCCAGCCCCACTTAACTGCTTCCGGACTGTCATGGTGTGTTGGGGGAAGGGGGCTGGGGCCTCAGCTGGGCACAGCTCAGGGCCCGGCGGCAGCAGGAGACTCGTGCGGGCCTCACCTTTCTCGGAGACGGCCACAGAGCCCACCACAAGGAGGTCCACGCGGACGCTGGAGTCTAAGCCGATGGGGACGCTGAAGTCCCGCACACCCTGCGGAGGGAGGCACCGAGCTCAAGGTCCCCTGTGGGTCCTTCTCTTCCCTCCAACCTGAGGTCACACCAGGGACACACAGCCAGCACACAGGTTCTGGAAGCCTTGTGTGGCCAGAAGGAAGTGGTGACAGTCACAGCACGTGAGTTTCCTGGTATTTAGGCCACTTCCCGCCAGGCAGCGGGGCAGGTGAGGGCAGACCCGGCTCAGCCAGGGCTCCGCAGCTGGAAGGGCCCAAGCTTCGGGCTCTGCTCCTCACCGCCTCGCTTAGACAAGGGCCGGCACTACAGGACGGACGCCCTGGAGGCTGCGCGCACAGTGGGGACACGCCACACACATCCACACACATCCGGTGTCTACCCAGCGGCCTCCCCTCTAAATATCAGCCAGGCTGTCCACCTGCCTCAACGTCAGACACCAGCACGCACGCCGCGAGGAGGCCGTCTCCATGGGCGTGGCCCTGTGCCGTTGGGGGGCGCAAGTCACCCTTGCGGGGCCCAGAGTCCACATTCCTTCTGGAGTCAGCACGTGGCGTCGGGCTGAGGCCCGGCTGTGGAACTCCAGAGCTCAGAGCCCCAGGCACACACCACGAGCCTCATGTCCTCCCGAAGTGCCCCATGTTCCACACCCACGAGCCCCCTCTCCTCCTGTCTCTGGGACCCCGGAGGGAGCAGGTGCCTGCTGGTTTCCAGAGGTTTGCATCTGGGAGCCATGGCCACAGCTAAGATTTTCATCCCAGCTTTCCTTCTCTCACACTGGTTGAGCAGGTCACTTTCCTGGGTTGGAGTGCAGAGTAAAACTTGGGCTTCACAACTGCCAGGCAAGTGCTCTGCTACAGAATTACATCCCCAACCATTGAAACAAGGTCTCTCTTAAGCCTCTCTTGGACAGCCTCAATTTCTTCATCTCCTGTCTCCGCCTCCGGAATGCTGGGATTGTAGGCAGGCACCACCACACCTGGCCTCTTCTACTTCACTCCTATTCTATATTTTTTATACCTCATCATGTATGTTTTCATAAGCCACAGCAAGTTGTATTTTCAAGGTAAGACAAGAGTATGAGTACGTAATAAATTACTCATTCTTTATACCTTAGACTCGATGGAAATTTCCTAAAAAGGAGTATCGTAAATTACCTTATTTTTCATTCTCAGTAGATTAGGAATCAAATGACCCGAGTTTAAGAATTCTTTAAAAAGTCACCAGGTTTTATTTAACTATAAAATACACAGATTCTATGATCACACACAAGAGATTTACCAGATGGTGATACCTTCCCGTCTAACACATGTAACAGCCTGCAATCACTTAGAAGTGGGGAGGAAATCGCCCTCTGCAGGAGAGGACCACGGTGGCCACAGGGAGAGCAGGGTGCTGACGCTGGAGGGCACCCGGGTAAACTGCTTCCACTAACGGGGAATTGCAGTTTGCTTGGGGCAAATGATTGAGTTTCAGGAGCAGAGTTTGTCCACCTGGCTGCCAGGTATGTTAATGGCGGGGGGGGGGGGGGGTGCTTGTAGCACTTACCTGAGAGGTGGCACATTTCCTCAGCACGGCTGTAGTGGTCCCAGGAGGTGGTGTGATCTTATTAAACAATCCCGTCCTCAGTCGTGGCGTAGGGACCAGCAATGTTTTTCCGCTCTTTGAAGAAACAGATAATAAATTTCAAGATTCAACTTTTACACAGCACTTTCTTGTATATACTTCTGCCATTTGGGAAAGGGAAGCAGCTGACTGTTCTCTGAACACCTGACCCAGCACACAGCACACAGAGGCCTGGTTGAGGGGGGGCGGGGAGGTATCCCCTGTCCCCACGTGGGGACGGGAACGGAGGCGCCCGTGGGGAAATGCTCTCACACAGGGGACCACACAGGACACAACTCCTGACTGCCCTCGGGGGAGCAGGAGAAGGACAAGGACAAGAGGCAGGCCCCCTTGGAGCCCCCGCCGAGTCTCATGAGGCTGAACCACGGGTCAGCCATGTCTCTCACAGGGGTGAACGGAGCGGGGAGCCTGTGAGGCCCCAGCGCCGAGTGCCGCAGCCCCCCCCCCCCCTCAGCTGGAGAGAACACAGCCACAGTTGCAAGGGGCTGGCTTGCACGAAAGCCCTGGCCATCGTCAGCAGAGGGGCCTGCCTCTGCCAAACATCAGCCATCGTAGTCACTTCATGGGCGCGTCTGAACCTCGCTCCTTTTACAACTCTGCATTTAAGTTATATGCCCATTCTGGTTTCATAGCTGCTAAAGAACTGAGCGTATCACACATTATGCTTAATTATAATAAATTAGTAATATTAAAATAGTTCTTCCTAAAACATATTTAATTTTTTTTTGCCCGTACTGGGGCTTGAATTCAGTGCCTACACACATGCTACGCTTGCTTTGCTCATGGCTGGTGCTCTACGGCTTGAGCCTCCTGCCTGGATTTTTACTGGTTAATTACAGATGAAGTCTTAAAGACTTTTCTGCCTAGGTTGGCTTCAAACTGAGATCTTCCAGGTCTTAGCCTCCTGATTTATAGACATGAGCCAACAGTGCCTGGACATCTCTAAATGTATTCTAAAGAAAATCCAAGCAATTTTAAGTTGAAAATGGTGCTGGAGCTTAGATTTGGGGGACACAGTTATCAGACTCTCATGAGCCCGTGCACTCAGGCGCTGCCCCATCAGAGGGAGGCGGGAGCGAGGCAGGCACCCTTCCTCATCTGATGGGCATGCCAGCACCGAGAGCCTCTGTGCCAGCACTCGGCAGCCCTCCATCTCTGTGCTGAGACATTCAGAAATGAGATGCTGGTCTGCTCTTGAGACCCGCCACAGGGTATGCCACTCATTTAAGTATAGACTGCTCCCACTTACCAGGCCCGAGCGAGTACCCTGGAGGTCAGGGCAGTGTGGGAAGTGGGGTTACCTGAAGTGCCAGAAGCCGAGCGCCCTCCAGTGGCTTATCGGGGTCCACTTTCACTTCCTGTGCCCTGGCATAGGCGTCCAGGTCTTTGATGCTTTGGCAAGCCAGATAAGACCCCTAGTTAGGCAAACAGACAGAGCTGCACGTACATGGAGGACGAGGAAGCGAATGCTTTTCTGAGGGGCATCAGGGTTCACTTTAATGGTCCTGGCGGTTCTGAAAGGCGGCAGGTGCGGGAAGTGCTCTGCGGCTCGAGAAGCACCCTGTGTAAGGAGACATGCCAGATCATTCTACCCACGGCTGTGGGCTCCTGAGTGTATCACTGAGCGCATGATTGGGCTGCCCTGCTTTTGCTTCTGCAGTTCTGGGGCTTGAACTCAGCATTCACCCACTAGGCAAACTCTCCACCTCTTGGGCCATGCCTCCAGCAGAGCACCCTGTTTACAAGCAATGTCATACAGAGAGGACCAGGGATGTGGGCCGGCTGCTCCTCCGGCTTAGGACCATCAGATGGGCAGGGCAAGCCAGGCCCAAGCAGGACTCAAGGAGGCCTCTATGAAAGAGGACAGAAGGGAGCCAAGTTAGGAACAGCGTTTGCTGAAATAAAACATGCACTCCGGAAAAAGTACAAGTCATGACTGTAGAGTGAGGGTTTTCCACAAAACAGCCACATGGCAGCTGCCTACACAGACACAGCCCTCCCTCCCTGCCCAGGGCCTCCTCATTCCCCACACCTGCACAAAACCAACCACGAGCACAGTGAAACCCATGCAAAGAACAGTCATCGGGAGGCCAGCTCCACTAAAGGGGCGGAGCTTAGTCCACACAGGGAGATGTCCAGTCTACCTGAGCATCGGGAAGCAGGGAGGGCCTTAAGCTATGACAGTGCGCGTGTGTACTCTCTGAAAATACACAGCCCCAAATGACAAACTGATGCTGCTTCAAGGAGATGATCTTTCCTATTCATGCCACAGTAAGTGGACGTCTCTGCTTGTTTTATATTCCAGACAGTGGTATGCTGAGACCCAGACATGGGTCTGTCTGTCCAGAGTGACTCCGTACCTTGAAGTTGGGGATCCTGTGATGGACAGGCCGGGGAAAGTCAGCTAAATTCTGGGACTCCATGTAGTCCCAGATCCGTTCCCGGATGTCCTGCTTGGAGACCCCTGTGGCAAACGAAGGGTTGTGACTTACAAGGGGAAAAAAAGGAATTCCACCATGCATTCGGGACGCAGAAATGACTCCAGCAGGCCCTCCCCAGACCCTCAGCACAGGAACAGACCATAGCCAAGCCTCTCTACAATTGAATATTGGGACCCCATCTTTCCTAACTTAGGAAATGTCCACCAGGCTGGTCTGGACTGGCGGGCCAAGTTTGTCATGCTTTTCTGCACTGCGAGCTGTCCCCCCCTGGGCACAGGCCAAAGCCTGCAGTATCCACTGATGGGCACTTGTTTGACTTCCAACCTGTGGTATGGTATGTGCAGTCTCTCTGGTAAGCCTGTCTGTAGGTCTGGCAGCATGAGGCCTGGGCCAGAATCGTTCAGACAGTGTGCAACAAGCTGCTGGTGGCCAGGCCCAAGGCCTGGGGGGGGGGGGGGGCGTAACAAATACTGGCCCCGGTCCCTGGCTGACAAATCACACCTGCACACTCAGGTGTGCTTCGGCAACGTGCTGCGCCCGGCCTCTGCACCTCTTCTTCCTTCCTCCCCTTAGGTCTGGATGCGGCCTCTACCAGGGAGCTCCTGCTAGGCTCTGACAAGGCCCTTCCTTTGGGAACCCAGAGGATCGTGTTTGGGTTTTCAGCAGAGGAAGATACGTTGGAATCATGATTACGCTGTCATCACCCCATGGCTCTCACAGGCCCGGTGTATTCCCAGCACCGCCGCGGGGCACACGGGGGGGGGGGGGTGCAGGGGCAGAGGGAGAGCGCGGGAGGCTCGGGGGCGCGCGGGGGCAGTGGGGGGTGCGGGACGCGGAGGGAGGGGGGGGTCCCCCGCGGGGCGCGCGGGGGGCGCGCGAGGCGGGGGGGGCGCGCGGGGCACGGGGGCGCGGGGGGCGCGCGAGGCGGGGCGCGGGGGGCACGGGGGGCGGGCACGGGGGGCACGGGGGGGGCGCGGGGGACGGGGCGCGGGGGGCACGGGGGGCACGGGGGGCGCGGGGGGCGCGGGGGACAGGGGGCGCGGGGGGCACGGGGGGGGCGCGGGGGACGGGGCGCGGGGGGCACGGGGGGGGCGCGGGGGGCACGGGGGCGCGGGGGGCACGGGGGGCGCGGGGGACAGGGGGCGCGGGGGGGCGCGCGCGGGGGGCGGGGGCACGGGGGGCGCGCGCGGGGGGCGGGGGGCACAGGGGGCGCGGGGGCGCGCGCGGGGCACGGGGGGCGCGCGCGGGGGGCACAGGGGCGCGCGGGCGCGGGGGGCGCGCGGGGCACGGGGGCGAGGGGGGCGTGCGGCTGCCGCGGCGCCCCCTGGGGTTGGCCAGTGGCTCAGGCGCAGCGTGTCCACGGCAAGTAAGAGGCGGCGCGCTGGCTCCTGGAAAGCTCTGGAAACGCGGGTTGACTTAAGCCCCGCCCCGCCGGTGTGGGTTCGTGTGGGCAGGCGCGGCGCGGGGCCGCCGGAGCCCGCGGGGACCCCGGTCAGGCCGGGCCGCCCCGGCGTCCTGTCCGCGCCGCCGGCCCCGCGCCTGGTTCCCGGGCAGCACGGAGCCCCGCGGCCTCCCGCCCCGAGCCCGGCCGGGCCTGCCGGCCGGTCGCACAAGCCCCCGCGGCCCTGGCGGACCCGTCCTCACCCGCGCGCCCGCCGCGGCCCTCAGCCGCCCGCGACTCCATGGTGACGCGGCCACTGCGCGACGCCGGGGGCGGGGCCTGGCGCGGAGTGACGTCACCCGCCACGCACAACCCCCCCCCCCCCCCGCGCCTGCGCCCTGGCGGGGGCCGGTTGCGCCTGAACAGCCGGGGCGCGCGTGCGCGGGCGGCGAGCCCCGTCACCGTGGGAACGCACCAGGCAGGCCTCGCTCCTGGGATCCCAGCTTCTCAGGAGGCTGCGATCTGAGGATCCGGGCGCAGAACCAGCCTGGCAGGAAGGGCCTGCGGCTCCCGTCTCCAAGGAGTCACCGAAAGGTGAAGTGGCGCTGCGGCTCCGGTGGTAGAGCGCCAGCCTGGAGCAAAAGGAGCTCAGGGACAGCGCCCAGGCCCTGGGTTCAAGTCCCTGGACGGCGCGTGCACACACACACGGACGCACGCGCACACACGCACCCCCACGGCGGTCCCATCACAGGCCGCCAGCCCCCCAGCCCGGCCGGGAGGGGGCCCGCGCCCCAGGGCTGACCGCAGCCTCCCCGGTGGGAAGAGCAGAGCTAAGATGGCACCGGCCAGAGGCCGCGCCCCCCGCCTGGGGACTGTGCCGCCGCACCACGGAGGCTTGGCTTCTATCTCACAGAGGCTGCAGAGGGAAGGGTTCCCAGAGCCCCGGCCTTGCCCGGGAGCCGGCACGGCGGGCCGCCTGTGCACACGCTCCCGCTCCGGGGGAGAGCGCCCTGGGCCCGCCTTGCTCGGCACACTGCCGCTGGGCCTGTGTATGCTGGGCCCGCCTTGCTTGGCAGACACTTTCGGGGGGCCTCGCTGGGGCCATGCGGGGCGCAGGTCTGCAAAGAAGGGGGGCGGGTGGGCGCCCCACCCAGGCCGCAGCGTTTGGTTGCTGGGGCCGGGAGTGTTTGTCACAGCAGCATACACCCGCCTCGAGGGCGGCCTGCCACCGGCCCACCGGTCGGCCCCCTTGGCAGTGACGGGCAGTGGACGCAGGCCGCGCACCCAGCAGCGGTGCTCCCCGACCGTGTCCCAGCCAAGGAAGGCTGTGTTAGACCCCGGCGGAGGACGGCCTGGCCCAAACCGACTGACAAGCCTAGGCGCCGTCTCCACGCGCAGGGCGCGGGCGCCTCGACCCACCAGCCCTGGCCTGCAAGAGCTCGGCTCGGGGGCTGGACTAGGGCGGCAGTCGAGCCATGCCTGGGGTCCATCGGCCCGGAGGAGTGACTTTGGAAAGCCAGGACTCTGCTCTCCCGCCCCCAGGCACCTGGCGAGGCAGGGCTGTGAGGAGGCCGGGCTGCTGGAGGCCGAGTCCAGCCGGGCCGGGGAGGGCGGGCAGAGAGCACTCGCCTGTCCACTTGGCTTCTCTGCCTCAAGGCCGGCCCGGGCAGCATCTGAGGCCTGTCACCGAGGCAGCCGGGGGGGACACGGGTCTCCCCTTATACCCCCCAAAAAACCCAGCCTCCTGATTCGATGTCCACTCGGCCCGAGGTCAGGAGCCGGTGTGATCAACAGCCCAAGAGGCCCGGGTTCGGTGCCGAACGCCTCGGCGACGTTCCCGGGTCCGAGCCGTCTCCGTCCCGCGCGCGCGCCTTCACCGGCGGGGGCCAAGGGACCGTGGGGTGCGCTCACCCTGGGGTGGGGAGACGTTCTCCCCGCCTGCAGCGCCGCGCGCGCCCGCCAGGGGTCAGCGCCTCCATTGCCACCAGCGCCCGCGGGGCTTTTCCCCGCCTCCCGCCTCGCGCAGTTCTGCGGTCAACCTCACGGTGGCGCCAGCAGCCGCAGAGTTGGCGCCGACCCCCAGATGATGGGAGGGCGCGGGGCCGGGGCCGGGGCGGCGCGCGGGACGGGGCGGAGGGGGAGGGGGGCGAGGGACCCCGGACACCCCCAGGCCTTCTCCACCGCTCATTCTTACCCAGGCCCGGGTCTGCTTCCGGCTCATGACCAGGCCTGCAGGAGAACAGCACCCCACGACCCCCTCCCCCAAAAAGATGGGGACCCCGGGGAGCAGGAAAGTCCCGGTGCGGTGCGGGGAGGCCCGGGAGGGGAGCAGCCGCCGCGCTCCGCCGCTCCCGCGGGCCCCTCGCCCCGCCTGTGGGTGTATCTGGCCAGCGAACCCAAGTGCTTTTTTGGGGTGCCACCTGTGTCGGGACCTGGCGGCCGGGGTTCCCTTTTCATACGACTTTGACTGCTTTGCCTTTTGCCCTGTGCGGTGACCAGGCGTTTATAACCTGTGCGTGCGCGCCCGCGTCGCGAAAGCAGCGGGAATGCTCCTCCCGCAAGCCTACCGGCCGGGACGGGGCTCCACGCGTGTTTCCCTTGCGGCGGGGTTCTGAGAGCTCGGGGTGTCGGTCGCCGGCGCGGGGAGCGAGGCGCCTGCTCCGCACCCCGGGAGTGCACCCACACTGGGGCGGTAAAGGACAGACAGCCCCGTGGCGGGGCTGACAAACCGCAAGCCAGGCGCCGGGCCCCAGATTAAAGACCCCCCCCCCCCCGTCGGTAACCCGACCGCACACGCAGAGCGCGGGGAACGGAAGGGACAGCGGCGTCCCGCGTCCTTTTCTACTCTGAATTTACCGAGAGCAAAATGGAGCGCGCCGTCTCCACGGTTCCCCTGCGGAGAGCGAGCGTTTGGGGTGCTCGGCGCCCGCCCGGGCCGCCGAGGCCGCGGGCCCCGAGATGGGACGCGAGTGTCGGCGCGGAGCCGTCCTCCCGCCGGCGCCCGGCGGGTCGTGGAGTGGGCAGAGCGGTGCGGGGCGGCGACGCGAGGTGTGCAGGGGGAGAGCGGGCCGTCCTCGGGGCGGATGGACGAGGAGGGCGCGGCAGGTGGAGGGCGCCGGGCTCCGGCCCGCCTCGATGAAACCCCACGCAGCGAGCGCGAGGCCGTGCGCGGCCGGCCGGGGAAGCGCGGGGGAGCGGGGTGCGCGCTGGGCCCGGCCGGCCGCCCCGTGCGGGTCCCCGGGCGCGCGGGGACGGGTGCTCACTAAGGTTCGTGCGCGGGCAGAGGCTTCTCCGCGCCCCGGGCCCGCGGGCGCCCCGGACACGCGGGCGCGGGGACACCCGGCCGGCCGTCGGGAACCCGCCCCGTCGCCCCTCCGCGGCGCAGCACGTCGCTGCGCTCTCCGGAGCGGCGTGGTGTCGACCTGACCTTCTCCTGTGCGGGGAAGCGTGCGGACACGCGGGCCCCGGGCCGGGGCGCGGGGACGCGGCCGCCCGCGGCCGGGGCAGGCTCCGTCTCCACGTCTCCCCGGAGCGGGCCGCGGGCGGGCGGCGGCGGCGCGGCCGGGTCTTAGAGCCGCCGGGTTGCGGCGCTCCGCGCGCTGATTGGCGCCGGCGCCACACCGCTGCGCGCGGATTGGTCCCGAGTTCTGGGGGGGGCGTGGCCCGGGGAAAGTAAAAACTGGCCCTCGCCGGGACTCTGGAAACTTTCCCCGGTCCCTAAAAGGGCCTCGGCCTCGCGCGCGCTCCGGGCTCGGCGGTGCAGCCGCCGCGGCGCCCGGCTCCCTGCCCGCGGGGCGGCCGCGCTGCCGGGGCTCCCCCTCTCCCCAGCGCGGACCGCGGGGCCGGCCGGGCCCCCCCGCCGCCGTGGCCCGGGGCGCGACGTCCGCGATGCCGACCCGCCCCGTCCGCTGAAGGCCGGCGCTCGCTCCGGGCGCGGGCGGCGGCGCCTCGCTCGCGGCGGGTCCCCGCCGCCTCCCGCAGCCCGCGGCTCCCCGCGCCGGTCCCCCGCGCCCCGCTCGCCGTCCGGGCCGGGCCCCCGCGGCCGCAGCATGCAGGCGCGCTACGCGGCGCCCGACCCCCCCGGCCTGGGCGCCGTGCCCTACCTGGGCGAGCAGAGCTACTACCGTGCGGCGGGCGGCTACGGCGGCGTGGCCGGGCCCGTGGGCGTCTACGCGGGGCACGCGGAGCCGTACGGCGCGGGCGCAGGGCGCGCATACGCGCCCTACCCGCACCCGCCCGCGGCGCCCAAGGACCTGGTGAAGCCGCCGTACAGCTACATCGCGCTCATCACCATGGCGATCCAGCACGCGCCCGAGAAGAAGATCACGCTGAGCGGCATCTACCAGTTCATCATGGAGCGCTTCCCCTTCTACCGCGAGAACCGGCAGGGCTGGCAGAACAGCATCCGCCACAACCTCTCGCTCAACGAGTGCTTCGTCAAGGTGCCGCGCGACGACAAGAAGCCGGGCAAGGGCAGCTACTGGACGCTGGACCCCGACTCCTACAACATGTTCGAGAACGGCAGCTTCCTGCGCCGCCGCCGGCGCTTCAAGAAGAAGGACGCGCCCCGGGGCCGCGGCGAGGAGCCGGCCGCGCGCGCCGCGCCCCGCGAGCCCGCGCCCGCGCCGGTCACGGTGAAGAGCGAGGCGGCCTCGCCCGCGCAGCCGCCCGCGCCGCCGCCGCCGCCCGTGGTCACGCCCAAGGCGGAGGCGCCGAGCCCCGAGCGCGCGCGCCGCGCCAGCCCCTCGGGCAGCGCCGCCTCGGGCAGCCCGGCCGCCGGCTCCCCCGACGGCCCGCTGCCCGAGCCGCAGGCCGCGGCGCCGCCCAACGGGCTGCCCGGCTTCAGCGTGGAGAGCATCATGACGCTGCGCGCGTCGCCGCCGGGCGCGGGGCCGCCGTTGGCGCTGCCCTACGCCGCCGCCGCCGCCGCGCCGCCCGCCGCCTTCGGGCCTCCGTGCGCGCAGGGCCCCGACGCGCCGGGCGCCGGCGGCTACCAGTGCAGCGTGCGCGCCCTGAGCCTGTACTCGGCGCCCGTGTGCGCGGCCCCCGCGCTGGACGAGGCCCTGTCGGACCACGCGGGCGGCCCCGCGTCCCCGCCCGCCGCCGCCCTGCACCTCGCCGCCGCCGGCCAGGAGGCCTCGCTGGCCGCCGCGGGCCACCACCGCCACCCGCACCACGGCCACCGCCACGCGCCCGCGCCGCCGCCGCCGCCGGCCCCGCCGCCGCCCCAGGCCGCCGCCGCCGCCTCCCCGGCCGCCGCCTGGTACCTGAACCACGGCGGCGGGGACCTGAGCCACCTCCCCGGCCACACGTTCGCGGCCCCGCAGCAGACGTTCCCCGGCGTCCGGGAGATGTTCAGCTCCCACCGGCTGGGCGTGGAGGGCTCGGGCCTCGGGGAGGCGCCGGCGGGCAGCGCCGCCTGCCAGCTGCCCTACAGGCCCGCGCCGCCCCTCTACCGCCACGCGGCCTCCTACTCGTACGACTGCACCAAGTACTGAGCGGCCGACGCGGGGCGCAGGACGCAGGACGCCAGCAGGTAACCCGCTGCCCCCGGGCCTGGGGGGGCCCTGCCCGGCCGGCCAGCGCCCCGAGGTGAGGACCGAGTCCCCGCAGCGCTCCCCTCCCGGGGCCCCGCGCCCCGGGGTGGGAGGTTGAGCAGCGGGCCCCTGCGGACTCGCGCGGGCCTCCCGCGCCCCCGCACCGCCGCCTGCGTGGTGATGATTTTCTCTAACCGTGCTGTAAAAAAAAAAAAAAAAAAACAAAAAAAAAACCACCAAAAACAAAGCGTGGATCTGTAAGCAGGCTGTTTTGTTGTTGTTGTTCAGAGCCATTAATATAATATTTAAAGTTGAGTTCACTGGATAACCTTTTTCATCTTGCCCGACCATTTTCGCCAAATTAAAATTTCTAGAGACCTCTCCTCCCTCCGGGAGGAACCGGGAGAGCCCCCGCGTCTTCTCCCAGTTGGAGGTCTTTGATAAAACAAGAAAAATAATTTATTTTTGTTGTTACTGGTGGATAAAGAAGTCAAGTATCTGATACTTTTTATTTACGAAGCGTGACGGTTTGTATAGTAGACGCCACCCCGAGTATTCCTTAAACACAAAACAAAAACTTTAAAAAAATTAACTTCATTCGTGTTTGTCTTTCGTGGTCTTCATTGTTGTATTTACCTTAAAATAAATCCATGCTGGTTTTATGCCCAAGTTTGGACAGTGTGTTTGTCTTCTCACACTTTAAAAGCAAAACCTAAAAAGAAATATCCTCGGGGTGGCATACCCCCTTGTTTCGATTGTTTTGGGGGACACAGGTGGCTGGGGTGGCATTCCCCCGTGTTTGGATTGTTTTGGGGGACACAGGTGGCTGGGGTGGCATTCCCCCGTGTTTGGATTGTTTTTGGGGACACAGGTGCCTGTCCAGGCAGACATCCAGAGACCAGAGATGGATGTGGAGGCACTCTCAATAACCTCTCACCCCGAGATCCGTGTTTTTCTTTTCTCAAGTGCAATCTGAGAAACTGCCCTGGTGGACAAAACTGTCCGAGGGACCCGAGCGGCTCACTAGCTGTAATGAAAGCAATTGTTCAGTACAAAACGCATGTCGATGGCCAAAACAAAGGGGTGATTCTCGTCTTCCTTGTCCAGAGCTCTGGCATCGGCAGAGAAGAAGGGGAAAGGGAAAGGGAACCCATGTGCCAGCTTTCCCTGGATTTCCTGAGCTGCAGACTTCCTAGCCCGTCCTCAAGGTTTCCAGAGCATTCGAGATGGGCCAGGAGATGGAAAGGGGGCTGATGGACCCTCCCGAGTTGATGGCAGTCCCCCCCCCATGAAAAGCAGATTTCCAAAGATCTACCTCTGGATTTGATTTCTAAACCCTTTTCCTCTGACAGTGAACGTAGGTGAAACCCTATTACCCTTCAAAAACCACGGATAATCCAAGACGCGGCTAGTGGTCTAACTCTTGTCAACTTTGCAGTTTGTTAAGTAGTTGGGAAGTTGTTTTTCTCTCGGATTTCTGCATGTCTTTGTAAAATTACGTTTGAGAGCGATACAGTCTGGTGAAGTGCAGCTGGGTGGCTGTGCTGTCTTCTCTGTTTCGCCCGTGGAAATCTCCAGCTCCTGTGCTGGGGCCCCTCTGAGTCCCCTCTGGGGACCTGAGTTGAGCGTCACCAGCTTCTACCACAGCAGGTGAGATGTGCTTTTGTAGAACCAGATGGTTTAGGCCGGGGATGGTGGCTTGGCGTTGGTGGTGGTGCTGGGCACTGAGGAAGGAAAGGAGCCTGGGAGCCATGGAGATTGCTAAGTGACATTTTATTTCCGTGCTGTTTTGAAGTAGAGTCAGGGGGAGTCTGAAGCAAAGTGTGCAAAGCAGTTTCTTCGCAGCCATGTTCCTGGAGGAGGCTGCTGGCTCACACTTCCAGCAAGCACTGTGCTCCTTCCCAGAACTCGCAGGAGCCGGGTGGAGGGTTTGTGTGAGGCAGGCCTGGACTGTTGGTTTGGGAGAGGTGGGAACATGGAGAAAGAAGGTCCACTCAGCGTGGGGATGAGTGGCAGAGCTCCCAGCGGCCCCAGACCCAGGTTTTCATTTTGCAAAGCTCTCTTCAAGCCATGTGTCCCAGGAGAGCTAGTTTGCTCCTTGTCCGGATGCTTCAAAAAGGTCTCCCAGAAAACTCCTTCTGCTCCTAAGATTCGGAAAACCCTGCCTGCCTGAGAGAAAGAGCAAGAGAGAGGAGGGATGGACAGACAACTGGCCTGCAGTAGAGTGCTGGGCCCCTGGCTTTGGGCAAATCGTCACTGTGACAGCTAATGAAGGTTCTCCCCAATTCTGCACAGGCCACGGCAACGCATCCTTCCACAACACCCTGCCAGCATTGGCAACTCGGGGTGTAATGGGGCCTTACCAGACCTGTGGGGGGGGCAGGAGAGCGAACAGCCCGACCCCTAAAACATGCCAGGTGCACGGGGATCCCCTTGAAAGGACTCTACAATCTTTGACCAAGGAGACCAGAATGGCTGCCCAGTGAGTTTCGGAAGCTGGTCCCCGGTGCTGCGTGCCGCTGCTGCTGCTGCCCCGTTCAGAGCTCAGCTCAGAGCTGTCTCAGGGCCCAGGGATGGCCACCTCTCCCCCAGCCACACGCTGAGAACACAGCCAAGAGGCTACAGACTGCCTGCCATGTGGGGCAGGCGGGGCAGGCGGCCTCTGCCCAGCCGGGGCTGCTCTGTGCCTTGTATAATCCCATACCCCCGCTGGTGGGCAAGTCTCTGGCATTCCAGGAAAAGGAGAAAGGAGGTCAGGGAGGGAAGAAGGGACGGAGTGTGTGCTCTGGGCTGCACACTCAGCGCGTAACTATGGCTTGTACAAAGCCAGGTAAGAAATCTACGTGCCTTCTTCCTGACTCAATGAGGAGACACGCTGGGCAGCTGCAAAGACATTTGAAATCAAATGAAAGCAGCCAGGTGCTCGGGCAGAGGGTTTGTGCGGCAGCACCTCTGCCCAGTCCCAGCCGCTTTTGGTGGGTGCACTGTGGTTAGGAATCAGAGCATTTTTATTCCTTTGGTGCCAGAACTGGGGCTCAAACTCAGAGCCTGGATGCTGTCCCTTCCTCTCACCCTCTCCCTCCCCACTCTCTGCTCAAGGCGGGTGCTCTACCACTTGAGAAACAGCTCCACTCCCGCTTTATTTTGCTGGTTCATTGAAGATAAGAGTCTCATGGACTTTTGTGCCTGAGCTGGCTCTAAACTGCAATCCTCAGATCTCAGTCTCTCGGAGTATCGGTGTGAGCCTCTAGTTGCCGGCTTCAGAGTGTAATTTCGATAGGGCTGTTGGGCAGTGAGGAGCCACGTTTGCAGCCTGGAAGGTTGTGGCTAGATTAGCCTCTACGATGGCAGCCTTTTGTTTGGCTCTTGAGTGACACCCCAAGCCCAGAACTTTCAGGAAGAGAGCCGCCCGTGACAGGCAGGCCGGGGAGGCCATCTTGGATTGCCAGGTGCTCCCCACCCCCACCCCGGCCTCTGCTCGGGGACGTGTCCTCGCAGAGGCAGATTCTGCAGTGGCTTGTGTCCTGAAAATTGCTCAAACGTTGGAGTAAAAATTCGGAGAGCAGATTTTAGCTTGAACAAGCCTCTTCCCTTCTCTGGCCATTAAATAAATTTAAAAAAATCTGTGAAGTGACCAGGTGTGGCCAGAGATGCTCGTTGTTCTAGACCTTACAACTGGGGCTCCTGCATTCCCTCCCATACCCCCCCCCCAAACCCCCCAAATCAGAAGTCAGATGGGTGGAGTCCCTCAGGATCCCCCTCACCCCACTGTCGAGTCTGTGCCAGCACCGGAGAGGCTGATGAGTGCCAAGGGAAAGCAGAAAGAAGTTTCCAGCTCACCCCTGAAGAGGAGTCTCTTTCCCACTCCTCACCCATGTCCACACGAGTGGGGGGTGGTGGCTGGCAGCTTCCTGTTACCCCTGTGACTGTGGGGGGAGGGGGGAGGGATCTTTACTGAGGTTTGAACTCAAGACCTGGGTGCTCAGCTTTTTTTTTTTTTTTTTTTTGCTCAAGACTAGCACTCTACCCTTGAGTTACTGAGCTTTTTGCTCGTTTATTGGAGATAAGCATCTCATGGGCTTTCTTGCCCGGACTGGCTTTGAACTATGATCCTCAGATCGTAGTCTCCTGAATAGCTAGGATTACAGGCGTGAGCTACCAGTGCTAGGCTGAAAAGATGTATCTTAATGCCTGGGCAGAGACAAGTCTTGGAGAGGTACTGGGGTCTCTGGGCCTGCGCTGGACTCTTCCGACTGACTGCAGGTCTGGGGTTGGGTAGGTGAGGGTTGGAGGTTCTGTGCCACAGGCAGATCCACCGGGGATGGGGTGGTCCGGGGCCTGGTTCCTGGGTTCCTGGGGGGGGGGGCAGACAGGGTCGGAGCCACTTTGGGCCAGCCCTCCTCCCCGATGCTGTCTCGCAGCACATATTTGAAATGCTTTCCCAAACTTTGCGAAGCAGATTCCCTGCCTGCTTCTTTCTCCCGTGGCCTCCGCTCAGTCAAGGCGTTTGAAATGTTTGCTTTTTTTGACATAGGCATGTAAGAAGGGGGCTTGTGGAGGCTGGCAGCCATCGTCCCCCACCAGGGCCCGCCCCCAGTCTGGGAAGGCTCCGCCCGCCTGTAAATCCTGCCAACAGTTCTTGCTCAACAGGAAAGAAATCAGAGTTTGGTTCTCTGAGAGTGTGTCTCTTCAGGTGCTGTCAGGCTAGGGTGACTGTGTGTTGGGGCTGGAGCTTGTGTGCACCACACAACAGCATCCCTGTAAGAGATGAAACTGGCTAGCGGTGGCTGCTGAGCAGGGCTGTCCCTGAAAGGCCACCTCCTCGGGGCAGCTGTGAGGATGGCTGAGAGACCGTTCTGACCTCACAGCGGTAGCCCTGGGCCTGGCCTTCCTTGCAGGCCTCTGCCCCAGGCATCTTCAGCTGAGGCTCTCTCTGAAACCGGGTCCCTAGTACCCACTGGAGGGGTCAAGGACCAGTGGCAGGTACCTGCGGCTTCTCCCTGTTACTAGAAGCTTTCTGGGCCAGATTATCAGCTGATAAAAGCATCGTGTAAGAGGGTCACAGGAGCCCCACCAGCACAACGCCCGCCCCGTGCGATCGACAGGCTGCCAGCGCTCAGGGGTCCCCAGAGAAGGGGAGCAGGAAGGCTCCCCGGTCTCAATGGACTCCGTGTGCTGCTGGGCTTGGGCAGGGCAGAGGGTGTGCCCTAACTGCCTCTTTTGGAGCCTTTCCGTCATTTCGGGGAACAAGGTGAGCTATAAATAAGTGTGCCCTTTGGAAAGCCCTGCCCAGGCCCGGCTCTCCGGACCTTCGGGGCTGACCCCACCCGGGAGAAACCACAGAGGACCCCGTCCCCAGCTCGGGGGGCCTTCCGCTCTTCCCACAGGGAGGGGAGGGGTTCCTCTGGGTTTGGCGGGGCCCTGGGGGTGGCGCACAGCCCGATCGTCACTGGCTCCGTCGGTGAGGTCTCTTCCCTTCCCTCCTCGGCTGCGCGCGCTCTCGTCCCCGCAGACCCTGGCCACGCCAGGCCCGGTCCCGCGGCCTCCGACTCGCGCTTGGGGCGCGCTGGGCGCGCACTCAGCGCTGCCGTCTGTGCGATGGGTGAACCCCAGAGCCCCCGCGGGGGGGGCACGGCGGCGGTGTCCCCTCCATCCCTCTTCTGTGGGGAAAAGCGCAGTCCAGTCCGCCCGAAACCGCTCAGAGTCGCCGGGGTGAAGTCCCGAGCCGTGCGGTGCGCTCCACACTCCCGCCTTCGCCCCGTGTTGTCGGGCTGCGGGGAGGACGGGGTGCGGGAAGGATGGAGCTGCGGGGAGGAGGGGGGTGAGGGGAGGACACGGGGTGCGGGAGGACGGAGCTGCGGGAAGGACACGGGGTGCGGGAGGATGGAGCTGCGGGGAGGAGGGGGGTGAGGGGAGGAGAGGGGGTGCGGGGAGGACATGGGTGCGGGAGGACGGAGCTGCGGGGAGGAGGGGTGCGGGGAGGACACGGGTGCGGGAAGGACGGAGCTGCGGGGAGGAGGGGGGTGAGGGGAGGACACGGGGTGCGGGAGGACGGAGCTGCGGGGAGGAGGGGTTCGGGGAGGACACGGGTGCGGGAAGGACGGAGCTGCGGGGAGGAGGGGGGTGAGGGGAGGACACGGGGTGCGGGGAGGACGGGGTGCGGGAGGACGGAGCTGCGGGGAGGACAGCGCCGGCCCGTCCCCCCTTGTCGGACTCGGTGTGGCCGCACCTGTCCTCGGCTCCCTAACGCCGCCCCGGGCTTTCCCAGGCCGGGACGGGGCGGGCGCCTGCTCCCCAGTGTCCCGGCCGCCCCGCCCCGCGCCCCGCCCGCCCCGCGCCCCGCCCGTCTCCTCGCCGCCGCGCGGCTTCCGCACGAGGGCGCCGCGGCTTTGGGCCTCGGGCCGCGCACTCCCCGGAAATGCGGGCGACTCCTCCTCCCGGGGTGGGGCGGGAGCCCGCGCCCCACTCCCGGGGTCCCGCGCCCCGGGTCCCGCCGCGCCCCGGCGGCTCCGCCCACCCTCGCGGCCCGGCCCGAGCGGTGTCCGTCCCGCGGGTCCCAGCCGGGCTCCCGCGGGGAGCCGGGGACGGGCTGGCCGGGCGCGCGCAGGGCCGGCGCGCGGACCCCGGGTGGCCTTCTCGGAGGAAGCGCGCTGCGGCCGGGGGCGCGGCGGGGCGCGGGGCGGACACGGAGGCGAACGTCCCGCCCCGGGACCTGGGCGCAGGAGGAGCCCCGGGCCGGGCCGCAACCCGCCCCCCCCATCCCCGGGGCCGGCGGCCCGAACCGGTTTGTAGGCCGGTGGTGACTTCCTCCGTTGGCATTCCGACCTTTCACCGACCGTTTGTTTCGCAGGTCTCGGACCGCCCCGCGCCCCGCGCCCCGCGTTCTGGACTGGGTGCTGCCCCGCCTTCCCTGGGCGCCCACATCCGGGTCCCCGCTCGGTTCCCCGGGGTCTCCCTGGGGCAGCAGCAGGACCCCCCTCCCCACTGCGGCCTGGCCTCAGCCGGCCACTCCGCGCGCGGACCTCGCGCCGCCCAGGGCCTCCTCCGCGGCCCTCGCCGACCGCAGATGCCGCGCAGGGCGCTGGTCACCTGTGTGCCCGCTGTGGGGGGCGCCCACGGAACCCGCGTCCCTGCCGATGTCCACTCGAGGCTTGGTGTGGTCCCGGTGTCCCCCCCTGTTCCCCCCCCCGACGGCGCGGGCGGGCGCGCGGCCTCCCTGCGGTCAGCACGGCCAGCTGCGCGCACTTGGGAGGTTGCCCTCCCTCCCCCTCCCCCTGCTGTAAACAGGAAAGCCGGGAACTTAACGCAGACCAGCGCACGAATGCGCCCGCCGCCCGCGCCCCTTCCCCTCCGCCGGGCCAAGCCCTGGGCTCCGTCCCCCACGTCGTTTTCAAGCCTTCAGTGGACTCCCCACCTTCCCGCAGAGGCCTGGCCTGCCCTGGGACGGGGAAGGGGAATGTCCCGGGGTCGACGGCCGGGGAGAGCGGGCTCCGCTTGCTTCCGGTGACTCAGCATCTTCCTGGAGGCCGGACCCCTTCCCATCAGGACTCCCCTCCCCGGTACTGGACGGGACAGCCACCATCTCCGCCCTCTCCACCGTCTCCACATCTCCACATCTCCACATCACATCCCCACCGTCTCCACATCTCCACCACCTCCACATCTCCACCACCTCCACATCACATCCCCACCGTCTCCACATCTCCACCATCTCCACATCTCCACCATCTCCACATCTCCACCACCTCCACATCACATCCCCACCATCTCCCCATCCCCTTTCGGCCCCCAAAGGAGAAAAGACCCTTCTGCGGGCGGCGGAGGGCCGCAGGGCTCCCACGGGCCGGACCGCGCCCCTCCGCCGGCCCCACCGCGGCCCTCCTCCCGGGGAGGGGGCAGGGCCCGCGAGCGTCCACATCCTGCCTCGGGGCCGCGGCTCCCAGCGCCGAGGGGTGGACGTGATATTTCAAACATCAGATCCGTGCGTTTATATATTGGGTGCCCGGAAATTTTTCCAAATAAACACAGCTTGATTCGACTTGGGTGGGCAGACTTATCAACAGACTAATGCTATAAACAAATGAGGGAATAGCCCCGAAACCGATTGGTGGGCATCGGCGAGCCACGTGGAGGGGAAGCGCGAGGAGTCCTCGGCGCGGGCCCGAGTGGCTGTGGGTGGGCCGCGAGCGGCGGCTGTTTATCGGAGACGGTTTACTTTCCGGCGCGAGGTCAACATATAACAGCAAACGCGCGGCCCTCCTTGCCCGGCTCCGGAGCCATGCGGCGCGCGGGCCGCGGCGCGCGGCGGCGGGCTCCCGGCGAGGGCGCGTGCGGCGCGGCCCGCAGCCCCTGAGCCCCGCGGCGGCCGCGCGCGCGGGGCGCCCCGCTCGCCATGAGCCACCCGTTCGGGCCCCGGCCGGCCGCGCTGGCCGCCGCGCCCCTGCTCTACCTGTACGGCCCCGAGCGGGCCGCGCTGCCCCTGGCCTTCGCCCGCGCCGAGCCCCCGCAGAAGCCGCCCTACAGCTACATCGCGCTCATCGCCATGGCCATCCAGCACGCGCCCGGGCAGAGGGTCACGCTGAGCGGCATCTACCGCTTCATCATGGAGCGCTTCCCCTTCTACCGCGACAACCGGCAGGGCTGGCAGAACAGCATCCGCCACAACCTCTCGCTCAACGACTGCTTCGTCAAGGTGCCGCGCGAGAAGGGCCGGCCGGGCAAGGGCAGCTACTGGACGCTGGACCCGCGCTGCGCCGACATGTTCGAGAACGGCAACTACCGGCGCCGCAAGCGGAGGCCCAGGCCGGGCCGCGCCGAGCCGCAGCCGGAGCCGGGGAGCGCGCGGGGCGCTGGGGCACAGCCCGAGCCCGAGCCGGCCGGCGCCGCGCGGCTCCCCGGGCCCGCGCGCCCCCGGACCCGCCCGGAAGGCCCCCGGAGCCCGACGCCCCTCCTCGGGTCGGACCCGGAGCCCGGCGCGGGGGCTGCGGCTGGGGAGGTCCGCGCGCTGGCGCGTCCCGTGTCCCCTCTGCGCCCCGACTCCCGCAGCTCCCCCAAGAGCTGCGACAAGTCCACGAGCTTCAGCATCGACAGCATCCTGTCCGGGAGGCAGGGCCAGAAGCCGGCCGGCCGGGGTGAGGCCTTGGGGGACGCCAAGCCCGGGTCTGGAGCGCCCCCGGGGGTCACCTCGCTTCTGGCTGCCGGCCCCGGGCTCTGGCCACCATTCAACGCCTCCCTGATGCTCGACCCGCACGTCCAGGGTGGCTTCTACCAGCTGGGGATCCCTTTCCTCTCCTACTTCCCGCTGCCAATCCCTGACGCCACCCTGCTGCCCTTCCAGTGAAGCCCCGGGGGGCCGGGCTCCTTCCTGCCCAGGCCCGGGGCCCACCGGCTGGACGCCAGTGAAGGACGCAGCCTTCCTCCCATGGTCTCTGCTGGGCAGCTATCAAGCTCAGGTGGGCTCCGGCCTCCTCCCAAGCCCACCTCCCCAGCTCCAGGAAGCAGGGTCCTGGCCACACACTCTCCGCAGGCCCCAGCAGGACCCCCGGATCTCAGGCCACCCCGAGGTGTAGCTGCCACCGCCCACAACAGGTCACACTGGGACCCTACAGACCGGATGTGGCCGCCATCGTTTCCACCTGGAGCTGCGGTCTGTGGATGCCCTGTGGGTCAGGCTTGACTTTGGGCCTGGACAGTGGGTGGACACCACAGGATCTGTCCCAATAGTCTGGTCTTGGGGCCGGGGTGGGGGGGTGGTACCCGGTGACCCCGGTCGTTCAGATTCTCCAGCGTAGGTAGGGCCTGGTTAAGGTGGAAGCTTGAGAGCCCCGGAGAGCAGTAAGCTGTTGTTTAAAACGGGCAGAGATGCCCACTATATTTCTGTGGAGACAGTACGATGCCCTTACGCTGTTCTTTGCCCTGACCTTGGCTCTCGGGCCGGCCACTTAGCAGCTTCCAGTAAGGAGTATCTATATCGCACGGCATTTTGTCACATTATGGTAGCGCTTTAATCCCTGTACTCAAAGCATCTGTGACTCAGATGGAGTCCAGCCTTTTCTTCTGAAGGGGATCCCCAGATTTCAGAGGCAGAGGGAAGGGTGAGCAGGAGGGGGGGTGCACCTCAGACAATGTCTGACCTTTTGAGGTCCAGGCTTGGTTTGTACTACGTTCTCTCACATGGTGTGGTGAGGTTGTTGGAAACAAACTGGAAGCAGATAGACATGGGGTAAAGCTAGGCAGAGCAAGCAAGCTCGCTGGCGTTGGCAGTAGGTGCCTGTCACTACTGGGTGGAGTTCTCGCAGACATCCCCGGCTCAGACCTCCATCCGCAGTCTGTACCCACGCTTCGCCTTCCCAGCTCTGCCAGGCCGACGTGAAATAACCCCTTAAGGAGGTGTCTGGAGCTTGGTGCTATGACTCATGCCTGTAATCTACTCTGGAGGCTGAGATCTGAGGATCGTGGTTTGAAGCCAGCCTGGGAAGCCAAGTTTATGAGACTCATCTCCAATTAACCAGCAAAAAGCCAGAAATGGATCTGTGGCTCAAGTGGTAAAGTACTTGCTATGAGCAAGAAAAACTGCCCAGGGACAGCAGACATCTAGGCCTTGAGTTCAAAGCCCAAGGACCAGCATGCACACACACAGTATCTGGAAGTCCAGTGTGTGGCAGCAAGCAAGAAGGATCAGGTTGGGGCTGGGAATGGGAAGGTGGCTCAGTGGTAGAGCGCTTGCCTTGCATGCATGAGGCCCGGGGTTCAATTCCTCAATACCACATAAGCAGAAAAAACCAGAAGTGGTGCTGTGGCTCAAGTGGTAGAGCACTAGCCTTGAGCTGAAGAGCTCAGGGACAGCACCCAGGCCTAGAGTTCAAGCCCCATGATGGACCAAAAAAGAAGAAAGAAAGAAAGAAAGAAAGAAAGAAAGAAAGAAAGAAAGAAAGAAAGAAAGAAAGAAAGAAAAGATCAGGCTAAGGAAACTGATTGTTACAGCTCGGCCCGGCATCCAGCTTTGAGGCAAGCCCTCCCAGGCTGAATTTGGGAGCTCTGGTTCTGAATCTTGATTGTCTGAACCTTTGATTTGATCTGGTGTAGGAAAGGCACAAATTGTCATGACTTCTTGTGGATAGGCTGAGGAGGGGCTTCAAAATAACTTTAAAAAATGGTCCTCAGGACTTGCAGAGAATGGTTGTGAACCAGGGAGAGGGCCAGTGAGTGCTGGGCCCACGTACAAGGAGGGCCCCCAGCTGCAGGCCTGGTCACCACAACACCAGCAGGCAGCACTGGCCTTCTGGAAACACACCCTTACCGCCACACTGAACTGTGTGCTCCTGGCGCGTTGTGGGTTCTGGGATGGGTTCTGTCCCGGCCGGGGAGAGGCCCGGAGAGCTGTAGAATGTCGGAGAAGCCTCCCCCCGCACCCCAACATGGTGAGTCCTGGGCTCCTTGTGGCTAACTTAAAACGTAGCAGAAGGGCTGTCAAGGGATACTTTGTTATCCCAAACTCTCAGCCTCCTGCATATGAGTTGTTTTTTCATTAACCTCTCCATGACTGGTTCAGTGGATTACCGAGGGCATAAACAAACAGTGTCTCGGCAGAGGAGCTCCGCCTGGCCCGGGAGTCAGGGAATGTCAGGGAATGGGGCTTCAGGGGAGACCCTGGGGACACCTCTGGATTTGGGGAGACAGGACGAGAAATTCTGCCAGGTGGGATGTTTAACTTTTCCTTTTTTGTCTTTAATATGCTGCCCTATGTGCTTTTGTTAATTTGTGACAACTGATTTTTTGGGGGGGAAGAATAAAAAAACGTAAAGCGAAAACCTGCTGTTTTGAGAAGATGGCATTGTACGGTAATAATAAATCTTTTAAAAGGTGTTGAAAAGCGCTTATGGGCACAGACAAGTTCGGGAGTCGGTTTGCACTTGGTGAGAGCCTGTCTCCAGGTTTTGAGATGTCGAGAGCAGGGGGTGGGGTGGGCTGTGCGACACCTTCCAGCTCCCCACCGAACACGAAGACAGAATCTGGGTCCTAACCATCCAGCCTCCCTGATTAGAACTGGCTCAAAATGACGCCTCAGCGGGACCCAGGCAGGGTTTCTACTCCGTTAAACCAAGTCTGAATTTAGGGTGAGCCAGGAGCACACTTGGCCTGGGAGGGCCGGCAGCCGCACCCCCAGCTTCCTCCGGACCCCAGGCTCAGTCCCCTCCCCCACCGGTCATGTGGGAACGACAGGAGCCAGCCTCATGATGAGCATGTACATGCATCTGCATGCAGGTGTGTGCGTGTGTGCCGTTACACACGTCTGTCTGCTCTGTGGGCATTCTCAGAAATTCACCCTCCTTGGACATGCGTGGGACTTGGGCCAAGGGCCTAGTCCTTTAGTGCTACCCCAAATATTGATACTATTTGAAAGATTCGGTTTTTCTCTATGGTTTTCAACTGTTTTTCTGTTTAGGCCAGGGATAGAGGAATCTTCAGATATATCAACTTTGAGAACTTGTCTCGCCTGGCTTCGAAGAGTCTCTGGCTCTTGTGGAAGCTAAGGGCGTCCCCGCTCCCTGTGGTACCCTAAGAGTCTCAAACATGAGCAGCTCTGGTTAGTTATTCTCAGATTGAACCATGCCTCTCTGAAATGGAGGCCGCGGTAACCTCCCCGTGTGGCAGGGAGAGGCAGGGGTTGCTGGGGCTGGTTAAGGGATCAGCCGGTGCAGCGACCACAGGGCTGGGAGCCGAGCCCGCCTGCCATAGATCAAGGAACCACGGGTGAGAAAAGCCAGGAACACGGGTCTCGCACACTGCCCGTCTCCATGGTGGCTGGGATGGAACTCTGCTGCATTTCAGTGAGTATAAAATACAAAGAGTAAAAGCACAGCGTATGATTGAAAAATGAAGTGCCAGCTTGTTAAAATTCTTTTGACAGGCATTTAAAGCCATTTAAAAAATAGGCCACATGGGCTGGGAAGGTGGCTCAGTGGTAGAGCGCTTGCCTTGCATGCCTGCCTGAGGCCCTGGGTTCGATTCCTCAGCACCACATAAGCAAAAAAGAAAAAAGCTGGAAGTGGCGCTGTGGCTCAAGTGGTAGAGCGCTAGCCTTGAGCTGAAGAGCTGAGGGACAGTGCCCAGGCCCAGAGTTCAGGCCCCACGACCGGACCCCCTCCCCCCAAAAAATAGGCCACAAGTATCTGGTAATTAAATAAAATTAGCCTCAACAGCCACATGGCCAATCAATTGCTCTGCTGCTCCTTTTCCAGAGGCTCAGGGCTGGTGATGCCACTGCCTGGGTACAGGCAGTAGGAGGGGCGTGGTCTGGGTGGGATGGGGTGGGTAAGGGCTCATCCCTCCAGATGGCATGCTGGTCAGATGCAGGAGGACGTGAGCTCGGATTGGTGCTCAGGCTCCCCCCCCCTCCCTCCCTGCACGCACACGCAGCAGCCTGGGGGAGGGGCAAAGATTTGGCCTCAGTCTCTTTTTTCCTATCAGGCCTGAGAATTAGGGTATGGCCAGAAAGGAAGCCCTCATGGAGGGGTCAAAGGGCAAGAGCTATTTGTGGGGGTGGGGGTGTCTAGGCTCAGGGAAAGGCCAGCCCCAGCAACCAGTCCAGGCCTGACCTTGGCAAAGCCCCCTGCCCCTCCTGTCTCTTTACTGTTGTCACCTGCCCGGTGCAGCTGTATTCGCCACGGCCTCCCAGAGCTGTCTCGAGTGGCACGCGGTGGTTTATTACACCAGCACCTGCCTCACTTTGAATCTATAAAACAGGAGTAGTAAGCAAGTCTCCCGCCTCAGGTCACAGACAGAGTTAAATTGGCTGAGCTCTGCGGGGTGTGGTACCCGATGACGCTGGCAATGCTGGGTCTGCCCCACCCTCCACTTGGGACAGGCTGCTGTGTGTGTGCAGCCTCATGGGTGTGTGCAGTCTCGCTGTGCGTGTGCAGCCTCATGGGTGTGTGCAGCCTCATGGGTGTGTGCAGCCTCGTGTGTGTGCAGTCTCGCTGTGTGTGCAGCCTCATGGGTGTGTGCAGTCTCGCTGTGTGTGTGCAGCCTCATGGGTGTGTGCAGTCTCGCTGTGCGTGTGCAGCCTCGCTGTGTGTGTGCAGTCTCATGTGTGTGTGCAGCCTCACTGTGTGTGTGCAGCCTCGCTGTGTGTGTGCAGCCTCCCTGTGTGTGTGCAGCCTCATGGGTGTGTGCAGCCTCCCTGTGTGTGTGCAGCCTCATGGGTGTGTGCAGCCTCCCTGTGTGTGTGCAGTCTCGCTGGGTGTGTGCAGCCTCGCTGTGTGTGTGCAGTCTCATGTGTGTGTGCAGCCTCGCTGTGTGTGTGCAGTCTCATGTGTGTGTGCAGCCTCGCTGTGTGTGTGCAGTCTCATGGGTGTGTGCAGTCTCGCTGTGCATGTGCAGCCTCGCTGTGTGTGTGC